CCTTACTTGCTTCCTGCCAATAAATTCACAGCCTGAAACTAGCTACAGAAATCATCTCCATCAGAATTGCGATTGTCCTTCGTGTCATTAAAAGTTACAGCTGCTCTTAAGATGTAAGTGCCCAATTTGACAGACTTCACTTTGCATTGCTCTGCTTCCCCTGCTGTTCTATCAGCACGGAGCAGGATGCCATCAGTAGAGCCCATCTGAGGAGGGAGGGGGTGCAATTGCTGTATGAACACCGGTGCAAACTTTCTCCAAATCTAAGAGATTGGTGGTGGTGAAGATGGTCTTTGGGGTTCCTCCCATGAGTCTCAGTGCTCCGAAGGGATGGGACACATCCAGTTCTTACCTGGGAGGTGCAGCACATGTGGGTACCACTAGTGGATCAAATGTGTGCAGATCCAGGTTGGATCCATTGCATTCAAAACCTTGACATCATCAGAATGGAGATGGTGGCAGCTCCTACCCTTTTAAGGCATTTGCACTTCTTTTTCTAGCACGCTCTTACAGGGAACAGAGCATAGCAGCTCTATGTTCAGTGAAACTGCCATGCACAGCGGTTTTGCCTTGGCAGCATAGTCTAAAAAAGGCACATACTTATGTACCATTTCCTTTTCAGTAAGGTTAACAAGCTTGATGAAGTTCCCAGTGATACCCAGTCTTGGCGCCTTCCTGGCGCTTGCTGTGATGTGATGGATCCCTGAGTTCCCATGGGGCTCAGAAAGAAGTTCCACTGGGTTTACTTCTGTTCTGTGCCATTTCTGACTCCAGTCAACCAAGCGTATTTCCCAGTTATTCTGTGCATTCTGTAAAGGTACCCATTTAGCTGTGAAGAACTGTGAAGAGGGCCCAACTGCAGGTCTGTCGAATGAAGTGGAAATACTCAGTGTCCTACCAACTTGAACAGCCCTGTGTGATGATCAGTATGTGTCTATTGTAACATGGTTAGATGGATGTAAACACTTACACGAAGCCTTTCTATTTCCTTCCTCAAAGCAAAGATCAAGTGTTTGTGATATAATAGGCGTGGAGTTTGTATCACTCTGTAGCTATGTGTGATTGATGAAGGGCTATTGTGTGATAGGCAGAGAGTGCAAGGACACTGTGAATCCATTTATCCGTTTTCTTTTCTCCACCTCTCCCTAGAGTCTGGGAAGTATTAGTGTTAAGGCTGAAGAACTGCTTGATCTTGCTATCTGTCTGGCTAAAGCCCTCCAGTGTAGAGCTCTCAGAGGTATGAAGTTTGTGGTCGTATGAAACCTAAGGGCCAGGGAAGGACCTGGTCCTGTAAGGAAGGGAACCCCTTGTCGTTGTGAGGAGTAGCTGGGTGATGCTAGCAAGCATCATTCTGGCACATGTGCTGGCATTTGCTCCTAGACAAGGTGAAAATGTTGGGAAGCAAGAGTGAAGTTTAGGAGATATGGTATCCACGCTAGTGTGGCTTCTTGATTTCCCCTGCTCAGAGCATAACTTGTTTCCTCTGCTGCCTTTTCCATTTGTTTGTTTGCATCATCTATCAAGTTTATAATGATGTGCTCACACACATAAAATCTTTATTAGCCATGCATATTCTCTATCCTCTCTTTTAATTTTCCTTCCCTCTTTCTTTGTTAATGAGCCTGGTGGGTTGCAGATGTTTCCCATTTGACAACACCTGAGACTCAGGTTCTCCAGCCGTGCTGTTGGATTGAGCACTTCTCCCTCCTGCAGCCCCAACCAGACCTGGGGTTACAGCCTTCCTTGAGATCAGTAGTCTAGTAACTGAAATGGAAGTTGGGCTGTGACATGTGGCTTGTAAACATCCTTGTGCTTCTTTGGTCTTCTTAAAGTGACTGGTAGGAAAAGAGGTCAAGCAGGGTTAATGAGAAGGTCTTCTGGGCTCTGTTTCCCATTTCCTCTGTTCCCAGAAGCCCTGGGATGGTGGCCAGATGTTGGTCACATCCACTTACAACCATCTTGGCTTGACTTGGCCCCTGCACGGACAATAGCATCAAAGAGGGCATTTCTCCCAAAAGAAGCTAGTGCTCTCAGTCCTGACATAAGTGAAAAGTGAGTAAAAAAGGCTTTGAGGTGCTTTGCACCAGTTTTTCCAAGTCAAAATACAGTACTGGAATCTTTGACAAAAACCAGTTTGCTCCTTTGGTTTTAATGGCAAGTCCATTTCTCAGAACACACATTGAAAAGTAAGGAGCCACGCAGTTCTGTCTGTTGTGACTGTGAACTTTTGTTCACTGTCCTTTTGTTTTGGACAATGGTGAGAAGAATGTTTCTGCACCAGTATGTCTTGAAATCCTTCTTAACAAATCCTTCCCTGGAGACCTTCTCAGAGATTGTTCTGCCTCGGACAGGTGGAGTGTATAAATCATCTTCTAGCCCAAGCCTTTTATGATCCTTTAATCTTAGCACTTTTTCCCAGAGCATCATCTCATGGGACACGATAAAATGCATTCACTGTCCATGTGGGAATGTGGCACAGCCTCTGATTTGTGTCCTTTCTCTATCGTACTTTAGGAACCCTCTGTAATTTTTCAGCCTGGTTTTTCAATAGGGATGGGTGCGTCTTCTCAGGAGCTGGTGTTGACTAGGGGATGAACTTCAGCAGATACAAAAGGATAAACCATCCATCAGGTGATAGATCTTTAAATCCCAATTCTGGAACATGTCAAGATTGGCAGAGCTGCATGGTAGATCCCGTGAAATGATCCCGAGGCACAGCAAGTGGGAGAAGGTGCTGTGATGCTCATAAAGGAAGTGGGTGGGAAGGCTGGAGTGGATGCGAGCCATAGTACAGGGACACCAGTAAATGAACAAAGTGCTCAGACAGAGGGAGATCCCGGAGGCAAGACCGTGTCGTTTGACCTTGGTAAGGTGGGGAAGAGTTGGTGGCTGAGAAAGTCCTGCCATTCGTGCCAGAGCAGCCTTTTTGTTTGCTGGCTGCCTGCTCCTTGCACTGCCAAGGCATGCTTTTATTCTGATAATTGTATGCGGTTCTTCCCTCCTGAAAAGCTGCTTTCAGTGTCAAGCAGCATCATGGTTTATTACAGTGTCATTTTCAAGTTACACCGACAACACAATAGCAAAAGATGTGTATGTCATGTCTCATTTACTCAGTAGCACGGTCGTTCAGGGGCATCTTCTGCATCTGCTGATCCTCTTCGAGCAATAGATTGAGCTGCAGTCCTGAAAATGCACCACATTATTTCTTAGAATTGCAGCTCCTGGAATAGTGGAGGTGGGGGCAAGCCCTGAAGAATACATCACTGAAAGCCTCCACGAATCATAAGATCTACTTCTAGTGCTCCATATAATTAGCGATTAAAATGAGTAAAAACAAAGCAGCAATTTTCTTATTGATCCCTCAGCAAATAGTTCTGTCTATTTTCTTCTGCATTGTTTCTTCTTATTAAATAGCCTTGAATAAGAAATGTCAGTCAAATGAATTTAGATTCCTGGTGCTTCAGACAGAAATCAAAGCAGGATTGAATGAGGAAAGATAATTAGAGAGAGGAATTCCACCTCCACAGACTTCTTCCCTTGCTCAAGGAGTGCTGATTTTATCTAAATTGCCAAAGCCGTGAGCAAATAAGAGGTGATGGGAATTATAGACTGCAGATGCTGAGACAAAGCAAGGGAGGCTTTAATTAGTGCGTTTTAAGGTAGAAATGAATTTCCAGGGAATAAATTATTTGACGCGAGACATATGGAGCTTCTTAGAGGTGAAGTGAAAAGCTTTTTACCTGCCAGAACCAGGGCTCACGGGGTTGTGCCTGTCTTGTAGACGTGAGTGATGCATCACTGAGGTTTGAAGCACATGGGGATGATGCCTTTTTTCGTTTGCATCCACTTGCTTGTTTTGGATGCGGAGTAAATCCCACTGCTGCAGATTCCCAGCGATGCAAAGCAGGGTTTGTTCCATCACTCACATTTCCTAGCTGAAGTGGATCTACCATTGCTGAGGAGCTGGGAGTTAGATGTTGAACCCACAGGTACCGAAAGGAAGTTATTTTCCTTTCGGGTTCCTTTGGCATCCTTTCTTAGCTCTGTTGCCACTGTCTCAGACACGTAAGGGTACTGGGAGCCTTGCATACTGACCTTTCTGTTTTTCAACAGAATTTTCACAGCTTCTCTTAGAGTGATACAGTGACAACTCTACCATTTGGAGGCGTATAGATTCTTGTTTGAATTGATGGAGCTTAAACAAAGCCATTTAGCTGGGTGCTTTAATCCCAAATTCACTGACTTCAGCAGTTATTCAGGCTCTTAATTATTCACATGCTCAGTGCAAAGCACTTTCTCACCAACCTTGTTGAAACAGGCAGAAGCAGGGCCAGGGCCAGGTCTGATGGTTGCGTTACAGGAGTGCTTACAGACCCTCGACTCAGGTGCTGCACAAACACGGAATTGAATGTTTTTGCCTCTCCAACACTATTTTCCTGTGCTCTGAGAACTGGAAGCCAAACATAGAGGGTCTAGTGGATGGAAGAGCCAGCTCCACAGCATCTTCCTGACAGCCTGGGATTTGCTGCCTGGGCTGGTCTATGTGAGATAACGAGTGTGACCTGGAAGATCAGCATGTCCTCCTGGATCCATCCTGTCCTGGGAAGAGCCACCATTCGTGGTCTTCCAAAGACCCTGTATAACAAACAGAGCAGAGCTGTGTGCTCTATGTCACTTGAGCACGTAGAGGCCACTCCATCTCACCCAGTGGCCTCTGCTTGGTCTTCCTACTGAAGAACATTCAAGTCTGAAAAAAAATTAAAAAAAAAACAACACTCACCCTCTCTAGGAAAAACACCACACTCACTGCTTTTTCTGATGTTCTGGTTGCCTATTTCAGATATTGCTATTTTATCCTACAGGTTGATTTGTGTTACCCATGCTGAACCGATGCGGTCAAGAGGTATTAAACGTTGATGTGTTTATCTTATGGCAAGATAGAAATGTTGCAAACTTTTGAGCTACGGGAAGAAATGGGCTAATTTGAGATTTGTTCCTAGCCCTCGCCATGCGAATGGTGTCGCTGCGAGCCCAGCAATGAAGTTCACTGTGTTGTAGCAGACTGCGCAGTTCCCGAGTGTGTCAACCCAGTCTATGAACCAGAGCAGTGTTGTCCGGTCTGCAAAAATGGTAAGAAAGTACTGTATTGGCTTTAACAGAGATATAAAGGAAACATTTCATTAAATGTCATTACCGATGCATCGCCAGGAGGTTTGCTTCCATTGGCACAGATTGGCACTGGGGCTGTGACTTCTCCTTGTGTGCGGGTGTCAGATACGAGACAGCTGCTCTGAAAATTAAGGCTCCCCTTCCTTGTGTTTTCTCATTGCCTTTGGTGTGATTGCTGGTTTAAGCAAGGCTTTTTAGGATTGAGTCATGATGTTGGTGATGGTCATTTCATGCCGTTGCTTTATTTTTTTCTCATGATTTGTCTCACGTGATTTGTCCCTGCATAAAGTGCCAGTGATTATTACTTAAGGCCGGGGCAAAACTCATTGAGATCAATGACAGAACTCCCTCTGGGTCTGCTAAAACTCTGGCCAAGCCAGTAACACTGTAAGTCGTGTGCTGGAGTCTGTGTGTGTAGCATTGGCCCTCACCGTCTTGCTGAAACAGTTTCATGAATTGGTCTTGGATTTGCCAATACTTCCAAGAAAGGCTTTGGGATGGCTGAAAGTACCTCTTTGGAAAATCAATCTGCTTCCAAGAAGGTCTCTCTGGTCCCATTCCACAGCCCTTAGACACATACATTTCTGCAAAAGCACCTTTCTCCTAATGTTGATGTTAAGACAGATCGAGAGGTGAGCTGGCGTCACATAAACCCTCTCATGGCTTTCTTAACATGTAAGTGGCTGCATCAGCTCGTCTTCTCATGTTTAGAATTTGCTATCCTTATGTATTACCCCCTACACTCATCACTGCTGTAGAATGAAAGAGTAATGGTTGTTTTTGGATCACAAATGAAAATGTTTACAGAGAAATAACATTTTCAGCATATTTTCTGGTCTTCTAAGATAGAGAAAAAGCAAAATACTGGAAATGCAAAGTATTCCGACCTAAAGAATTGGAAAAATTCTGAGCAGTTTGGAAAAAAAAGGTTTTTGTTTAGAATTTTATGTTGTTATTGAAAAGCAGAAAAACGTCCATAGGAAATGTCATTAGTTTGTCATCAGCAGACTTTGGAGAGAAGGTGGTTATGGCCAGCTCTATCTAACATCTTGGGGTATGGTCCATCTTGGCAGGGTGTGAGGTTTCCAGCACTGAAAGAAGACTGTTGAGAGGCACCCTGCCCTGGGAGTTGCTGTGGCCATCTCTGTGTCTGTCACCAGCATTTACAGGGAAGCTCATTTAAACTCAAATGAAGAGCGTTAGTGTGTGTCTGACCACCTCTGTGTTCCCTTTGCATACAGGGTTTCATGCTGGTTCACATCCCACAGATCCAAGCTGTGAGCATTGCTCAGGCTTCTCATGAGTACACTCCCAAAGGTGTCTTCATAGAAGCCCAGGAGCTGCTGCATTTCCCTACCAACCCTTCCCCACCATGACCATTTCCCCCAGTGAATGAAGAACTCCAGGGTACAAGGTAGTGGTTGGACCCTCAGCTAGATGTCAACGGGTTCACTATTGGGGCTTTGTCCATGGATTTCTTGAGTTTCTCTACTCCTCCCTTCCCTCTCCTGTTGAAGACACAGCTAGAAAGCTCTCTGAAACCTGGTTTAGGCAGGGAAGTATTTCTTAACACCCTCTTAAAGCAGCCTACGCATCTTGGGTGTCTCTGGGGCCACGGAGGTCAGGGCTTGCAGTGAGTGAAGGCGATGCGGTGGTATGCTCATCCCTTGGGGTGTATCTGCATGGAGGTGCTGTGGACTTTATCCTTCAGAAGCAGAATGAAATAATTCACAGAGAGACAGAAATAAGGTAGTGCTAAAATAGTCTCTGTTGTCCCATGTTGCTCTTCTTGGATGCGGCTTCAAAAGCAGAGCCCACCCTTCACCTCCCTCTTAACATTTTGGTAACTTCATATGAAAGAATAACAGAGACGGCTGTGTCTCTTCCCCTCTGAAACCCTCTGACAAATCCTAATGAATGAGGATCACAACACTTTAAGCTGTCTGCTCATCTTGAGACCACAATTTTATCTTTCGGCTCTCCACTGCAGCCAGTCAATTAAAGTTCGGTTTCACAAATGCATGAAGATAACACAAGCTGACAGTCCTACTTAAATGACCAAACTCCCGTTTTCTTTAATGTCTTTTTTCCCCCCCGTTCCATCGAGTAGCTTTTGCTTCCTACCAGAGCAGTGAAGACATTACAGTGCCGCGTCTCGGTGCGATGAAAAGGTTTTAGCTCAGCCTCAGTCTGCGGTCGTCCTTTTAGACTGGCAAAGAGAAGAAGCTCAAGGGATATAGCTGTTGGGGGGAAGAAAAAGTTAATCCCTGGAACCACACGTAGTGCAAATCCTCATTTCAGAAGCTGATCCTTAAAATGTTGGTGTTTGGGGTTAAAACAGTGCCCTGCATCATTTGCTGCGCTCTGCTAGCAGCGTGGTCTGCCTGCTTGCTTAGCTGTTGCTGCCATTAAGTGGAGAATAATTTCCTCTTGATACGTTCAGATGGATTTTTGTGCCTTTCTTAATTATGTCTTGCCAAGGGCAAAAGTGCTGCGAAGCAGCGAGGTTAATGCAAAAATCTGTTGATGTGAACGTACCTGACCCGAAGATTCATAAAAAGCCAATATCAATTTCCCTCCCTCCGCCATCGTTTAAGAGCAGTCTGAAAAGCAGATTTATCCCTTACTGTCAAAAGAAATACCCAACTCTTGTCTCTTTGCAGCTCGCACAAAGCCGGCTCTGCTTGGCGAGGGACCCGGAGCCGAGTTCAGCAGGAGGTGATTTTGGGGGCTCCCGTGTCCCCGTTTGTCAGAGCGCATCGTGAGGGCGATGGCTCCAGGTGCTGCGCAGCATTTCTGTCGTGGAGATGAAAGGTCACTGGCTTTCACGTTTCCTGGTAGTGACAGACCGCAGAATTATGGCCCCGAGACGTTATTTCGAGGCGCTGTGGCTGCTCCAGACAAAAGTGTGTCAGCTGTTGTTAACTCTCTCCTCTGCAGGATCAAAACCGTGCCTCCCACTGCTAAATCCCAGCTCGGGGCTGTCCACAAGCAGTCCTGCAGCTATGCCACAGCCTTTCCAAGCAGAAATCTCTCCCACAATCCCCATCCCCCTGCACCTAGCGCCCAGGTGTCATTCTTAGCCCCCCGACCCCACACTCTTTGTTTCCAGACCTCCCCATAAGTCAGCTCTCATTATGATGGCACGTGGTTGTTAAGTCCTTCATGCATCACTGCAGGGTTGCTCTTTGCCTTTCCTTTAGCCCTTTGGACGTGGTCTACAAGCATCTGGTGTGTTGTAGGGACGAGGGTGGACAGTGATAGGAGAAGGGGGAATGGGCTTAAACTGAGACAGGGGAGGTTTAGGTTGGATATTAGGAGGAAGTTTTTCACACAGAGGGTGGTGAGGCACTGGAACAGGTTGCCCAAGGAGGCTGTGGATGCCCCATCCCTGGAGGCATTCAAGGCCAGGCTGGATGTGGCTCTGGGCAGCCTGGTCTGCTGGTTGGTGACCCTGCACATGGCAGGGGGTTGGAACTGGATGAGCATTGTGCTCCTTTTCAACCCAGGCCATTCTGTGATTCTATGATTCTATGACAGGAGGGATCCCTACTTTATCATCGCTCATCTCTTCCCCTCCTGCAGTTTGCAAACCTGTGGGCCATTGGCACATCCCTCCACCTTTTGCTGCTTTGCAGAAGCAAAAAGCAGCGTGAAATAAAACTCAGATATGGTTTCAAATGAAGCTCACAGTGCATGAGGAAGGGCTGGAGGAGAGCAGAGGGTGGCAGGATTCCCAGGTGCCCACCCGGCTCCCTATTTCACAAATTGCTCCTTCAGAATCGTATCCGAAAATAATCTCGGCTTTAGCAAAAGTTTGTCGTTGTGGGGGATTCTGTGGCACAGCTGTGTCAGGGACATTAATTTAAAAATTCCAATAAGAGCCACAATAGAATTGTTAACTCCTTTCCCCTCTCTGAAGTGTGAAATTCTTTTCAGAGCATTTCAAAAGCGCCTTCGCCCATTTACACATACATTAACGAAATTGCTAAAATATTAGGCTTTGCCTTGGCACTTTCATTTACTTGAGGGATGAACAGAATAAGCGCTGTATGTTTCTATTTGGGGGTCTGGCTTTTGCTCTTAATTCAATTTTTGATGCCACCAACCCTCGACCAAAGCATTGGTTACGCAATAAGACAGATAAAAGCTAAATACATCCTGGTCAGTGTGCTTCCTCTAGTGTGGGCTTCTGGAGCCATCCCTGATGAAATACTGGGCAGCACGAAGATGTTTCCTAGATAATCTGACACCCAGTCTTTAATTAAAGCTTTAAATTATTGCAGTTGATGCAGATTTCAAAGTAAAGAGGCTGATCCTGCCCTCCACACACAAGTGAAAGATTGCTTTGACCTTCAGCAGATTTTACCTTGGTGAAATAGCGTATATTCAGGTGAAGCTGTTACAGATATTTATTATAATGTGCTATAAATATTAATAATTCCATTCGAGCATCTTTGTATTTAAGGGCATGAGCACAAAACCAAGTAAATAATAATTTATTTACGTGCACATAAAGCCACAGTTTACCTAAGCTTCTCTCTTAATTTACTGAGAACGTAAACTTGCTGCTCATTATTTCTCAGTTGGAGTTAATTTGAAATAACCATTTTGCAGCCCAGCCTGTTCCTTCTGTCACACCGTGTGCTTTGCCCAGAAAATCCCTGAGGATTCATCCCAGCCCATCAGAACTGAGGGCAGCCTTTCCTGTAACAAACATGCCTTACGTTTGTCTCAGAGTGGATTTTGCATGCTGCTTTGTGGAACAACCCCCAGGGGCTGACCTTCGGGGCTGCCTTTTCCTAGTAAGCAGTCTGTGGAAGTGCCTTTTTTTTTCCTAAGCAGGTGTTTTTTTTGATGTCCCCAAGAACCAGAGGGGTGCCCCAGTTGGCTCCATGTGCCTTCAGGTGGACAATCAGGGGAGATGATGTGGGGACGTGGGCAGGCAGCCCCCCAAGGGC